CTAGTGTTTCAAAAAGAATGCAGTAAACTATGCAGTAAACTGATTTGTAGATCTTGTTTTCAGATTAAGTTAGAAATTTGCCTCTCAAAATATAATCTTTGTATATAGGATTTTGGAGCTTGGGATTCATTTAATCTCCCAAACTCCATGGGAGTTTTTTTTTTATTATTAACAATGGTAACATTGTCTTATAATTAAACAAGTGGCTAAACATTCTTAATTATAAGATTGAGAGCTATCAAAAAGAAATAGTTTTGTAAATGTAATGATAGATAATATTCTAGAATCTCTTCCCCAGACTCTCAGGCTCGTAAAACTTACTCTTGGAAAGGTTTGAACCCAGTGGTCAACAGCTCATTAGCAATTATTAGTGCAAGATTAAGGCTAGGACATATTTAGCATTACAGTGTCATAATGTCAGTATCTCTGTGGTTGAATTTCAGAACATTTAATGAGAATGAGCTTAATAATCAGGAACTTGTTTATCTCGTGATGATTTTTATATTAATTTTAAATATATAATGATTAAATATGTTTTAATTTTTAGCTTTTTGCACTGACTCCTCTTCTCTCAGACTAAGCACTCTCCAGCTGGTCAAGAATCACATGGCTGTTCACTATAATAAAATCCTTTCAGCCAAAGGTAAAAATGTGCAAATGTGAACTTTCTGTGCCAAATTTAAACCTCCAACTTCACTTCTCATTAGCATAAATCTATAACAAAAATGAATATGTTATATATATATATATATAAAAGGATTTGTGTTTGGTATAGTGAGACAGCAGCTATTGATTCTGTATACACAGAAATTCAAAATGCCATTTTTGTTAACTATATTCAAAATCTATATAATGTGTATGTTATTTCATTTTATCCATTATCCATAATATTTTATTGGTAGATACTGTTCTTAATATAATAAACGTTTATAATCTGTTTTTTTGTTTTCAAGTCTACTAAGGAGGTTGCACAAAGAAGATGCGAGCTACTATTTTTCTATTTAATTTTTTCTTTTTTGTCAGATTTATTGAGTTATAACTCACATATAATAAAATGCATTAATTATAAGTGTACAGTTAAATATTTTGAAAAATGGATACATTGTTATAAACTACCACCCTCATGCTATACAACATGGGTCAGCTAACTACATCTTGCAGGCCAAACTCTCCTGCCACCGGTTTTTGTATAGCTCATAAATTAAGAATGGTGCTTATATTTTCAAATGGTAGCAGAAAATCAAAAGAACAATATTTTGTGACATGTGAAAATCATGAAATTCAAATTAAATTTTCCATAAACATAATAATATTCAGTCTTTTCCACTAAAACGCAGCTTTTTCCACTAAAATGAAGCTTTTGCACTGAAGTGCAGAGTTAACTAGTTGTGACAGACTGTCTCACCCTGCAAAGCCTGAAGCATTTACTATTTGTCCCTTTATAGAAGAAGTTTGCTGACCCCTGATACAGAACATTTCCATCACCCACAAAGTTCCCCCTCGTTCTCTGCAGTCAGTCCCCTGTCCCCAAATCCCTGACAACCACTGATTTGCTCTCTCTCACTATAGTTTTACCTTTTCTGTAATTTCATATAAATGGAATCATAAAATATGTATCCTTTTGGGTGTGGCTTCTTTCAGTTAGCATAACAATTTTGAAACTAATCCATGTTGTTTTGTTTATTAGTATTTCTTCTTTTTTTAACTCTTGTTAAAGAGTATTCCTTTTAATGAATCTACCACAATTTGTTTATCAATTCACCAGTTGGTGGACATTTGGATTATTTTGACTTGGTTTTGGCTATTAGGAATAAAGCTGCTATAAACATTCACATATAGTCTTTGAACATTTGTTTCCATTTCATTTGGGTAAATTTATTTGCTAGAAGTAGACTGCGCAATAATACGTTAAGTGTATGTTTAACTTTATAAGAAACTGCCAAACTTTTCCAGAGTACTATACCATTTTGCATTTCTATTACTTCACATCCTCACCAATGCTTGGTATTCACAGTCCTTTTTAGCCATTCTAGTGGATATGTAGCAGTATCTCTTCATAGTTTTAGTTTGCATCTCCCTGATGCCTAATGATGTTGAGCAACTTTTCTTACTATTTGCCATTTGTATATCTTCTTTGGTGAAATGCCTATTCAAATCTATTGTCCATTTTTTAACACAGGCTGTTTGTCTCCTTAGTATTAAGTTGTGACAGTTTCTTTGCATATTAAATACAAATTCTATATCAGATATA